TGCCGTGGCAGGGCAAATAGTGTGAGCGATGGAGATGGTCAGAACTGGGCACATGAGCCCTCTAGGAAGGGAATCTCAGTTTCCTATTGAATTTTTGGATTCGTGGATATCAAACCTATTGATTTTGCAAGTCAAAGATCCTCAGGCTTATCTCTCCAGTGCAGATCCCAGGTATCAGAGGACCCAATGTGGGGCACCAATCCCTCATTCCTCCAGGAGAAGCATTGCCTAGTGAATGTTGCCACTCTTGGGGTAAGTTTTTTTTTTTTTTTTTTTTTTTTGGTAGGACTGTGTTTCTGCCTCTCCTTCCCAGCTTGGTGTGGTCCTTATATTCTCTATTGTGAAAAGAAGTACCTATAGTTTTCAGATCTTTTGCAGAGGGAAGTTATCCATATACAGCCATAGATTTGGTAGGTATGATGGAGGAGGACAGTTCAGGATTTTCCTATGCTGCCATCTTTCCAGATCCTCCAACTAACAATATTTTCTAAATGGTACTTCTATTTTCTTTTAATTTTACTTTTAAGTAATTTCTACATCCAATGTGAGGCTTGAACTCACAACACTGAGATCAAGAGATATTTGCTCTACTGACTGAGCCAGCCAGGCACCCTTCTAAATGATCCTTCTAGAGATTGAAAATACAATTTCAAAATCTTCTTAAACAATCACTAGAGAGACACAGCAGATAAGATCCTCCAGAAAAAGAGATCAGTGACCCTGAAGAGACAAGAATAAAAAAAAACCTTCCAAAACTGAAGCCCAGAGAGAAAGAAGGTTATATAAAATATAAGCAAAATCCTGATGATATGTAGGATAATATCACATGGTCTAGTACACATGTGAATGAAGTCCCAGAAAGCATGTGTATGTGAGGGAATGGGGCAGAAATGGGGATAGAAAATTTTAATGAAGAAGTAATGGGCAAAATTTTTCAAATTTTATAAAAATTTTAATTTCATAGTCTAAGGAAATCAATAAACTTTAAATAGAATAAACACAAAGTAAATAGCACTAAAACACATTATAATCAAATCGTTGAAAACAAGTGATAAAAAAAATCATAAAACAAGGGCACCTGGGTAGTTCAGTCAGTTCTGTCAAACTCTTGGTTTTGGCTCAGGTGGTGATCTCAGAGTCATGGGATTGAGCCCTACATTAGGCTCCATGCTGGGTGTGGAGCCTGCTCAAGATTCTCTCTCCTTCTTCCTCTGCCTCTCCCCCCACCCGTCTTAAAAAAAAAAAAAAAAGGTCATAAAACTAAGCCAAGGATAAAGATATAGTTCATACATAAGAACAAAGATAAGAATTACTATTGACTTTTCAAAAAATATCTGAAGACATGATCCAGCAATGTTACTTCTAGTTATATACCCACAAGAAGTGAAAGCAGGGACTGCAAGAGATATTTGTGCAATAATGTTCATAGCAGTATTATTCACAATAGTCAAAAAGTGGAAATAACCCAATTATTCATTGGTAGATAAATGGATAAACAAAATGGTATATATACACACAATGAAAAATTATTCAGCCTTTAAAAGGAAGGAAATTCTGACACATGATACAACATGGATGAACCTTGAAATTACTGTGCTAAATTAAATAGGCAAACACAAGAAGACAAATATTGTATAATCCTATTTTTAGAAGTACTAGAATAGTCAAATTCATAAAGTGAGAAACCAGAATACCCAAAGATGGGGGGAAAGGTGACTGGGGAATTACTGTTTAATGGGTCCAGAGTTTTAGTTTGAAATGATGAAAAAAACAAACAAACAAACAAAAAAGAAATGATGAAAAAATTCTAGAGATGGATGGTGGTGATGGTCACACAATACTGTGAATGTAGTTAATGTTAATGAACTTAAAAATAGTTAAAATAGTAAATTTGATGCTACATATACTTTACCACATACACAAATACACAAAAAAAGAATACAATGAAGATACCATACCGAAAAGCAAGACAAAAACAAAACAAAATCAAAGCTAAAGACAACAGAATGACAGCTTGCTAGAAAGAAAAAAGTCAACCAAGAATTCTATACCCAGTGAAAATATCCTTCAAAAGTAAAGGCAAAATAAAAGTATTTCCAGACAAAAGCTGATAGAATCTATCTCCAGCACATAAGAACTCCTAGTAAAGGAAGTACTTTAGGCTGAAGAAGAATGTGACATTAGATACATTATATAGCCAGTTTAAACCCACACACTCAGATTGCAAACCTTGAATCCTTACCACTAGATTTCAGTATTTTTTTTGAAGCTGAGGAAGTAAAAAAAAAAAGGAAAATGACAAATGTTCCTTCTCTAACAGTACTGTAATATGGTTTCAAAGGATCATACTTAAGTTAATTTATATTAGTGGATTTGGGTAGTATATATCTGGTCTTTACACATATCTTTTTTTTAATATTTTATTTATTTATTAATGATAGACATAGGGAGAGAGAAAGGCAGAGACACAGGCAAAGGGAGAAGCAGGCTCCATGCAGGGAGCCCGACACGGGACTCGATCCTGGGACTCCAGGATCGTGCCCTGGGCCAAAGGCAGGCGCTAAACCGCTGAGCCACCCAGGGATCCCCTGATCTTTACACATATCTAATTATATAACCCAGAATATACTCACTTTAGTTTGAAGGCAAACATTCCAAATTGTATTCTTTGTTACTTACCTGTATGATTCAAACCTGTATTATTGTGTTATTATTTTTTGTTCAGGAAAAGGGATTGGGAATGGAAAAAAAAAAAAGATTGTTTCTTTACTTCTGTTTTAGACTTTTTTTTAAGATCATATCATTCTTTGTAGTTTAAATTTAAGAATTTTAAAGTTTTAAAATGTTTGTAAACTTTAATTTTTTTCAAGTTTAAAACTATATCATGCCCTCTTTCAAGAAGAACTTTAAATCCCACTTCTTAGGAAAACATTTTATTTCTGCTTAGTTAACAATTTTTTAAAAGATGATTAAAAAAAGGAATGTTTTCAGGCACCTGAGTGGCTCAGGGGTTAAGTGTCTGCCTCTGGCTCAGGTCATGATCTCAGCGTCCTGGGATCCCACAGGTTCCCTGCTTGTGCTCTTCTTCTCCCTCTGTTACTCCCCCCCACCCCCGCGCTTGTGCTCTCTGGGTCTATCTCTCTGTCAAACAAATAAATAAAATCTTTAAAAAATAAAAAAAGGAATGTTTGCTCTACATACCCTCCAAATAATCATCTTCTTCTTTTTCTGGGAGTGATGTTATGCAAAACAATATAAATTAATAAAAATAAAATAACCTAAACATCCGCATTTAATCTGAATAGTATAAACAAAGTGACTCAGAGAAAGAAAAAGAGTAGTAATTTCTTAAATATTCAATCTATTGAACAACTTCTCAACTCAGGTATAGTCTGTTGTCTTTGGCTTAGTCCAATATCAAAGACGGCAATTCTAAATCCGCATGCATGGGGTCCTCTTAATTCCGTTGCAGGAAAACATCTGCCTAAAGAAATTACTAGGCGTTTACTATTTATTACAGTGAAAGGACAAAAAGTGCATTTCCTATTTCTCATTTCCTTCTTTGGCCTCCCTCTCTTCCTCCTTCTGTCTGTGTCCCTCAGTCTAGATCTTTCTCTCCCTCTGTCTCTCTTCCTGTCCATCTTACCTGGAAATTTTTCTAAAAACGCATGCACTCCTTTCTAAGGTTCCAGTACCCTCATCATCATCTCAAACTAGTATTAGTGTCTGTCAGTAGCTTCTTCTCACTCCAGTTTATTTCACTGTTGTCACTGTACTAATCTTTCTTTAAACTTGTCTGTGATCAGTCTCTTGTTTCGAAACCTCATAACTCATAATTGCCTACAGATTAAAATCACAATTTCCTGGCATGATATATATAGGGTCTTTTATATTACGACTCCAACTTTTTTTTGGAAACTCAGTCTTTTCTGCTAATACTCTATATCTCCTTTCTTCACTATTTCTCATCTTCATATTACATCCAATAATAATAGATAACATTTATTGACAGTTTACTATGTGCCAAGTACTTTCTACATAAATGTTTTTTATCTACAAAGTCATGTGCCAGGCAATTTTCTAAGCATTTAACAAATAATAACTTGGGGCACCTGGCTGGCTCAGCAGATAGAGTGTGAAACTCTTGATCTCAGGATCATGGAGATGGAGCCCTACACTGGGTGTAGAGCCTACTTTAAAAATAAAATAAAATGTTATTTTAATAACCTAAATAATAACTCATTTAATATTCATAACAACCCTTTGAGACAGGTGTTACCATTACCCCATTTTACTGTCTATTGACAGAAAGTAGATCAGTGGTTGCCTAGGGTTGAGAGGAATGGAGAAAGTGGGAAGTAACTGCTAAATGGCATGGAGTTTCTTTATGGAGTGATGAGAATTTTTGGAATCAGAGAATGGTGATGGCTGCGCAGCTTTGTAAATATACTAAAAAACAGTGAATTGGGATCCCTGGGTGGCACAGCAGTTTAGCGCCTGCCTTTGGCCCAGGGCGCGATCCTGGAGACCCGGGATTGAATCCCACGTCGGGCTCCCGGTGCATGGAGCCTGCTTCTCCCTCTGCCTGTGTCTCTGCCTCTCTCTCTCTCTCTATCATAAATAAATAAAAAAAATTAAAAAAAAAAACAAAACAGTGAATTATGCATGCTAACCTGGTGAATTATTAAATGTATTTATTATTATATATTAATTATTTATCTAAAAATTATTGAAATTATTAAATTGGTTAATTATTTTAAATGTTTAGCAGAAGAAATAGGCAGACCTTGAGGCAGAATATTTCCTATTGTTGCTTGGACACGATAGCTGAATTCTTTGAAGCATCTTATTTCACAGACAAATATTTTCAATGCTAAATGATTTGGGCAAGAAATTTTGGTACATAGTTAAGCCAGAAGTCAATGTAATCCTTTGAGAGAACAAAGATAACTGGATAAATGAAAGCACATGCAGGAAGAGGATCCTCCAAAAATGCTCACCTCTTCCAAAGGAGACCAGTACTTGCAGTTACTGCAGATGCTCCTAGGAAAGCCACCATCATTAGTCGTCGCCTGATCTGGGTGGGCTGTGATCCTCCGTGGTAATATCGAGAGCCCACAGCCAGTTCTGCCAATGCAGAAAGGGAGTTAAGACGAAACATTCTGTGGATAAAAAGTAGAAATGTTATTCCTAACTAGTGGTAGGGTAGTGACAGTGATGATGACGATGATGAAGATGACATATTAAAGTTGCCAACAAACCTTACAGACTAACTCAATGGCAGATTAAACACTTTTCGATACCAATACCATATAATATCCCATTTAACCCACAGAATAGTTGTATGAGAAAAATACTACTTGTAACCTGATATATCAAAGTACAATTAGAAGACAAAAAAAAACATAGTAATTTGAACGGGGAAAGTTTAACATAAAGCATTATTAACTATAACACAGGTAAAATACTAAGGGTTAAAAAGAACAGATAAAGTGAGCAGCTACTACTTCGAGGGGTGATGCAGAACAACAGGGGAGGGATAAATCTGTAAAGAGGCCCCTCTCAACATGGCTGAGATATAGGCCTGTGGTGAGGATGCAACCACAGATGTCTGAGAAATATACTAAAGTGCCAGGCCAACAGAAGTCACTATAAAGTCATCTAGTAGGAACTCAATATGTCAGTAGAACTCAGAAAAGTACCCATGGGGAGATGTTCAAGTATGGAACTCACTAGGAAAATGCATTTGGGAGTATTGCTACTAAAACTCCCTAAGGGGTTGAGAGCACCAGGTCATTCCACATGCTGCTGGCTACTCTGTGCTACAGGAGCAAGCAGGAAGAGCATACAAGAATCAGGAAGAAAAACTCCTCCCTTCTCTAGTCTCCCTCTAGACCTTCAACTGACAAACCTTAACAAAAGGTGGCAAGAGAGAAATTTCTAGTATCACAAAAAGGACAATGAAAGATGGATTTAGCATTGCAAAGCAACAGATTTGTAAGCAGCACAACCATTTTAAAGATGCGGGAAACTGAGGGGCCTGGGGGTTCTGCTCAGGGCGTTTTAATTAAATCTTTTTCATTCCAGGTCCTTGGAAGGTCTCCTACTCACCAAATTCTTCCGTTTCATACTTATAATTTCACCTGTTCCTCTCACTGTTTAACTCAGAAACATCTGTATTAGGTCATATTATTGTTCAAAACCCAGTCACTTACCCATCCCCCATCCCAGGCAAATACTATTTTCCACACTCTTCATTTTGGGTGCATATCTTGCCATAGACCTTGCTTTGACCAATAGAATGTGGGCCAGTTCCACAAAGCACTTTTAAGAAGTATTGCTATTAGCATTCTCGTGCTCCTGCACTCTACGAAGAGAAGACCATGCCCCTGACAGACATGATCCTTCAACCTGGGTTCCATAATGAACGCATCTCAGCCTGGAGCCAGGCAATGTGAAGACCAGCTGGGTGAGCAGAGCTCAGCCAACCTATAGAATGCTAATGAGAAATAAACGTTTATGATTAAAAGTCACTAAAATTGGGAGTTTTTACTGCCACAGCAAAGGCTAATTGAGCATACAAGAGAATTACTAGGAAGTTCTCATTCAACAAAAACGTTTGAAGTTCATACTGTCAGATAAGACCTAACAGGCCAAAAAGAACTCTACATTCTAATTAGGCAAGATACACATGAAACATTTTTTTTCCACATGAAACATTTTTTTAATGATACGTTTCTAAACTGGTATCTTGAAGAAGTATCAAAATGTTAGGGTATAGATATTAGAGAATTAAGAAAAATTTTAAATATCAGGGTAAGACTAGGTTAGTCAGCAAAGGCTTTTGTTTACTTCTGGGCCTCAGAATGATATAAAATTTTGATCAGTTGCGGGCAGCCCGGGTGGCTCAGCGGTTTAGCACTGCCTTCGGCCCAGGGTATGATCCTGGAGACCTGGGATCAAGTCCCACGTTGGGCTCCCTGCATGGAGCCTGCTTCTCCCTCTGCCTGTGTCTCTGCCTCCCTCTCTCTCTCTCTCTCTCTCTCTCTCTCTCTCTGTGTGTGTCTCTGTCTCTCATAAACAAATAAGTAAAATCTTTTTTTAAAAAAAAATGATAGCTATCTCGTGGATGCCCCAAAGACAGGATCATTTCTGGTACCTCTATACAGAGAATTAATAGAAAATTATTTTTTCCCTCTAGACAATATCTTGAGGCCAGAGTACAGTCTTCATTCTTTTATTCCACCAGGGAGGCTGAAAGAGAAAGGGGCATTTCTTCCTGGTTGTATGACTTTTTATAGTGGCAATTCATTCAAACCACATATTCATTCTCCTCCCCTTTGTCCCAAAGCACAGTTCACTGCTTCTTAATTTAAATTATCTTGCACTTTATACATATCTTCCTATGGCAATTAATACATTCGCTCATATGTAAGTTGGCCTTCCCCATTTGGCTCTCAGCCTTCTTTAAGGCCAAAATTATTTTTTCCTCTTCATAACCATACAGTCTAGTGCGGAGCCTGTTACATTATAGGTATCTAAAATATTTAACTATGTAAAGTACAAATCATACAAGTACTGGCTCCTAACATTTAAGTATACTTCTAAGCCTCAAAATACTAAGAAAAGTATGTCTTTTACCATTTGGGTTCAAATCAAGTTAGACTACTTAGCTATCTCTTAACATCACAGAGCCAGTAACTAACCCTCCTCTGGGGCCTATATCTACAATCTCTTAAGTAAACCTATCCCTTAGTCGTTTTCATTCAATCTAGACCCAGTTTCAAAATTGGACCTAAATTCTGCCCTTATGGAGAAAGTGGGAAAAGATTTTTTTTTCTTTCCTATTTCCTATGACCCAAGGGGCAGCAACACAATTTTTTAACCTTCCCCAACCCAGAAATCATCTCATTTTATTGCACATATCCTAGCAAAATCCAGCACCAATGAGATTGTTCACTGTATTTTCTTCCTGCCTGTCAACAACCGATTCACTTTTAAATTAACATTTTCCACACCCACAGCATACTTGGATACGTAGCATTGCTTTTATCTAAAATAGAAGTGAATACTCTACTTTCTCTTCAGATCGAATAAATCTCCTTATAATAAAAATGAGCACGACTAAAACATATATATCTGGAGAAAACTTACTCATCCCTGACAAAAGAAAAGAGCATTCAGAAGTTTTTAATGTGAAAGGCAAATAACATAACCAGCTCAAAAGTTAGAACAAGCAAGGAGTGTGTAAGACTGGAAGATAGATTAGATATTCTCCATAAATAGACACATGTCCACATAATAGACATCTCATAAATAGACATATGTTCACCAACATAATCCCATTTTTCAGTTAAAAAATATATAAATAGACATATGATCAAACAGGTAAGCCATAATCACTTGAGAAGGTCATCTGAATTCTGGACTGAGAAATCTGATCACATATACAACAGGAAACTACAACATACCTTACATTGGAAAAGAATGTGATGAAGGTATTTTCTCAAAGAATAGCTATCTATCAGAAGTGAATAGAATAGGGGGATCCCTGGGTGGCTCAGCGGTTTGGTGCCTGCCTTTGGCCCAGGGCGTGATCCTGGAGTCCCGGATCGAGTCCCGCGTCGGGCTCCTGGCATGGAGCCTGCTTATCCCTCTGTTTATATCTCTGCCTCTCTCTCTCTCTCTCTCTCTCTCTCTCTCTATGTCTATCATAAATAAATAAAAAAATAAATGTTAAAAAAGAAGTCAGAATAAATTGCAAAGGACAAAGGCAGAAAGAGCTAGTAGAAGCTCTTAGTACAGCCAGAAGGCAATTAATAATCTAAGTATTGGGTGATAAGTGCCTAGATGATAAATGCAGAACCAAAAATTAAATTTAAAGGTCCAAAGAGAGACAAAAACCATCAGATATTAGTATCCAACACACACTGATATGTAAGTGTGAAGGAGATGGAAGGAGATGGAAGACAGAAAGGAGAAGGAGATTGAAACAATAATACCAACTAGCAGATCATAGAAGTTAAATGGAATAGGAATCCAATGACCCAAGACCTAGCCTCACCTCTACTACAAAGAGCTGTGGACAAAGGAAACTTATTTCCCTTTCTTAAAGGAAGAATTTTATAAAATGAGAGAATTGCCTAAATGAGCTTTAGGGTTCCTTTTATCTTTTAATGCTCTCTAATCTTGGTGAAAAGCGGTATGGCAAAAATTTAATCTATTTCATGGGGGGGGGCGGCAGTAAGATCATATCAGAAAAAGCAAGATGTATTAGTTTTGAGAATACATGTCCCTATGCTCTGGTGCTTGAAGATTTTAAATTTTAATAGTTTTAGGCAGCCCAGGTGGCTCAGCGGTTTAGCACCACCTTCAGCCCAGGGCGCAATCCTGGAGACCAGGGATCGAGACCCACATCAGGCTCCCTGCATGGAGCCTGTGTCTCCCTCTGCCTGTGTCTCTGCCTCTATCTTTTAAAGATAAATGAAATATTTAAAAATAAATAAATAATAAATAAATAAATAAATTTTGATAGTTTTAAGTTCTACTAACAGTTTACTTACATTTTAATGTTGCAATTCAAATGTTACCACTGGTTTTTTTCCACCACTGGTTTTGATCTCATTCCCTAGAGTACACATCAAAAGATATATTTAAGGGCACATGGCTGGCTCAATGGGTGGAGCTTTCAACTTGATCTCAAGGTTATGAGTTTTAGCCCCATATTTGGGGTAGAGATTACTTAAAAAATTTTAAATCTTAAAAAATATATATCTATTCATCTTCTCTTGTGCAATTTTCACAGATGCCAAGCAAACAAAGAAAAAGAATGAGAAAAAGACTCTATTATAATTTTAATTCCTAACTTTGTAGTGAAGAAAGGGTGTAACTAGTCCAATGTATTCATTTTTGATGAGAGACCATGTAAACAGATCTAAGGAGATTAGCTTTCCAATTGAGTCTGGAAAACTGAATAGGCCAACTGGCAGCAGTTATGTAGTAATGAAGCATGTTTATGAGAAGGATTAAATTTAAAGAGGAGTGCATTTTTCTTCCTTAACAGTACTCCACTCCCTTTCAACCCCCAACCCCTGCCCAAAGCATGCCTCTAAAAAGTAGCTTTCATGTGACCTGAAAAAAGATGAAGAGGTATTTCCAACTA